AGAAACCAGTTGAGGCCACTCCGGATTTTACAGATTAGAAGGCGGGGCGACAGCCATGGGGTCGCCCGGGTCAGCCGTCTGGAGCGGAGACTAGAGCCCAGGGCTCTGCACCCCGCGGGCGCACACAGCCCGAGGGTCAGCGGGCACCCGAGGCCAGGGGCTCAGCTCAGTGACCCCTCTCTCGCCTGCAAACGGGGATCGGAGAACAGGGATCAGGCGGGGCGCCGGGCCGGGACCCCGAGACCCCGGTGGAGCCCAGCCCAATGGGGGAGGGGCGCCACGCCCTGACGGTGACGCCGTCTGGCCCGGGTCTGGGGTCTCCAGGGCGTCCACCCGCAGCCCCTCCGGGAACAGCCCTGCCCCCCGCGCGCACGTGCAGGACGGGTGCCCGCCCGCCCCGCGGGCCCCGCTCCGGAGCTCGGCGCACTGACCTCCGCGTCCCCGGCCGTCGGGTCTGCCCAGGGCCGTACCCCTCAGCCCCCGCGCACTGCGCATGTCAGCTTAGCCCAGCACGGCTGGAACCAGATCCAGCCGGCTGGACGGTGACGCAAGCGCGCCCGCGCTCGGCGTGTGGCGGGGCCGGGCAGTGGGCGGGGCCGGGCAGTGGGCGGGGCCCGACAGCCACACTTGGGCGGGGAACCCCAGACCCAACCGGGTCTGCACTGGAAGCCCCCGTGCTGTGCAGTTTGGGGTGGGGAGACGCGGCCGGGGGTGATTGGCACCGACTAACACCCACCCTGACGGGTTCCCTATTTAACAAGGTTGTTCAGAAGACAGATCGGAGGCTCAGGGCACCTTCTCAGTCCACAGCTCGGCCTTGAAGTTGCAGACACAGAGCCCACGTCCAGGGCTGTGCCTGTCATCAGGCACTGCTTCCGATTCTCCTCGCGGAGAGCCATGGTGCCATGCTCCCTGGCAGCTCCCCCACACGGGAGGCAGGAAAACCAGCTGGTGCGGTGCCCCCAATTGCTCCCCATTTATCTGCGTAAACCACGGACCCAAGTCTGACCGTGAGGTTTGGGCCCCGTGTGCTGTCCCCATTCCCAAGTCTCCACCGCCTGCAGCAAGGGACCCTAGGTTCCCTGAACCGGGCCTGCGGTCTCCTCCCCAGGGCCTTTGCACATGCTCTTCCTTTTGCCTGCAGCACTCACAGCTGGGTCCTCACTTCAGATTCCTATCATCCTCAGCTTCAGGGGCACCTCTGTCTCACCTACTGAGCACCTTCCCAATACCATGGCTCCCTGGCACTCCCCAGAACAGTGACATCCTCCCCCCCCACACCAGTTCTCATTAATGTCCAGTCCCCCCATACTGCGAGCTCCACAAGGATGGGGGTGTCTGCTCACCATTGCACTGATGTCGTCTGGCAAGAAGCAGGTGCTCAATAAAGGCTCATGGAACCAGTGGGTGAGTCACACCGCTCTTTCCTCGTCATACGGACAATGGCACCTTAAACCTCTTCGAGAGCTTGTGTTCCCTCCTCTAAGGCAAAGCTGCAGATCAATTTTATGATCCAAGGCAAAACCACACTCTAGCAGCCAGGAGCCTGCCAAACGCACCCAAGGGCCCCCAGTAGGCTCTGGAGGCGGGGCTGGTTCCAGGGGGCTGGCCAGCCCTGTCTCACCCACCTGTCCGAAGAAGGCGACATCAGGCACCCCAGGACACGCTGTACTCGGGCGGCAGAGGCGTGCCCTAGAAGCCCTTTCTTCTCTCACCACTGTGCACTGCCAGGGGGTGTGGGTGTCGCAGCTTCTGGGCCCGATAAGGATCTCTGAGGTCCCAGAGCCAAGGCTGCATCTTTTTGTGCTTTTGCTCTGGGCCATTTCCCCTCCAAACACAGGGATCCACACACACAGGCCTGGACCAGAGTGGGATGGATGCAGGCGAGGCAGAAGCCGGGCAGGCGCCCGCCCCTCACAGCAGCCTCCGGGGTTGGCAAGCTCACCTGTACTTCCTTGTCTAATCCTTGTGATGCTGGCATCAGTGTCCCCACTTTACAGGTATGGAAATGCTAAAAGAAAGAAGTTTCCAAGATTGCCGATTTCAAGGAATGAACTCAGTTCTGGGCGTTTGGAGTCCCAGGGAATTTGCGTGCTAACTTTCTAGTGCCTTTCCACTGTCAGGCCTCTAAACCGAGGGCCCTCTGGTCGGCCTCTTTCACCCACTGGTCTTCTGGTGACTCAGTGGGCTGCCGTTGGAGACAGGAGAGGGGGAGAGAGCTGGCCTGGCCGCAGGGTGGACAGGCTCAGAGGCGCTGGCTGAGGACACCACACAGAGACAGAGCGGGCTGTCACTCATGCTCCCTTCCACACGAGGAAACTGAGGCTCAGACAGCATGGGAAGTACACCAGGTCTGCCTACTCCTGAGCCAGGGTTCCCTCCTAGGCCCTTCTCAGCCCTGGGATCAGCCTGCAGGACATGCTCTGTCCCCCAGGCCATCTGCCAAGGCACTGGGCGGCTCACTGCACCCCTGGGGTTCAGGACAGGGGACCCAAGAGGAATGGTACCTGGTACAGCCCCAAGCACCTTTGGGGACAAGGTCCGGCTGGTGGAGTGGGAGGGTGTGACCCATGTGAACCTGGAGGCAGTGGCTGGGTTGGCCCCGAGGGGACTGAGAGACCCTAGAACCCCTGCTCCCTTCCCATCCCACTCCCCACAGGCAGGTCAGCTCAGCGGCAGCCCCTAGTCAGAAAGGGCGGGTAGATGACAGGGACCTGAATGCATCCCACAAGTGCCTGCCTTGTACCTCTTCACGCCAGGCTGCCCTACGCGCTAGTCCACTGTGGGGAGCGGGACAACAATGCCGCTGCCACAGACCGAGCGTTCTGTCCCCACACTCACATGCTGAGCCCTAGCCCTCCACGTGATAGTGCCAGGAGGTGGGGCTGTGGGGTGCTTAAGTCATGAGGTGGGGCCCTCGTGAACGGGACTAGTGCCCTTGTAAGAAGTGGCCCTTCTGCCATGGGAGGACACCGCGCGGTGTGGCTCTCAACACACGTGGGACCTGCTGGTGCTTCCAGCCTCCAGAACTGAGAGAAATACGTGTCTGTTTCTTATAAGCCCCCAGTCTGTGCTGCTCTGCTATAGCAGCCCGAATGGACTAAGACACCTGCCCACCGAGATGCCATTAGAAGGCTACGATATTGAGAAAAATTAGGTAGGACAGCAAGTAGGTTTATTTAGGTTTTGTGATTTACAATGGCTGTAGAAGGATGGGACACCTGAGTAGAGACCTGGATATCTGGGAGAGAGGTGGTCCACGCAGAGGGGACAGCAAGCACCCATGTCCTGGGGAGGGGCACAGAGGCCCACATGAGGCAGAGGAGAAGCGGGGTGGCTGCAGACATGGGGGTGGGGTGTTCAGCAAGCCTGCCAGGCTGGAGTTCTGGAAGCACGAAATTGCTACCAAGACTCCCAAGAGGCAATAAGAATTCGCTTTCAAATCCAGGGCACCAGGCACTCCACGATCACATGGATCATTCTGAATCATTAGGGAAAGAACCAGAATGCATGGTTGATCAGCACGCCATATTTCCTGTGCATGCCACCGCCCAGAGAACCCGGCACTGGGGAACCCCCAGGAGGCTGGGGTTCGGAGCGCTGCCTGGATACAGCCAGCTCCATGCCTGCACACACCACTCCCCTCCCACTCAGCCCTGCCCCCCGGGACAGCCCTGCTCAGAGGCTAAGCGCTTCCTGGTGGGACCTGGGATCAGAGCTGAAGCCCAGGCCCTAGGTGAGCGATGTCCGCCATTGGCCACAGCAAGAGGGAGCAAAGCAAACTCCTGCTGAAGGCCTTCGCATGGCTGCCCGCCAGCCCCTCCAGAGAGGCCAAGGGGACCTCGCTGGCCCTGAAGTCCTGGGACCTTGGGAAGGGTTGGCCCCAATGTCTCCGACTCCAGAACCTCATGTCTGAGTCCAGTGATTTCACTAGAATTCTATGAAACTCTTAAGGAAGAATTAACACCAACTCTATTCAATCTCTTGAAGAAAATGGAAGAAGAGGGATCACATCCCAATTCAGCCTGAGGCTAGTATTACGCTCTGATATCAAAAGGAAAAACAGTACAGAAAAGGAAAAATACAGACACAAATCCCTCATGAGTATAAGTGCAAAAATCCTACTCAGAAACATAGAAACAGAATGATATACCAGGACCGTGTGGAGTTTATTCCAAGATGCAAGGCTGGTTCAATATTCCAGAATCAATCCATATAATCCACCACGTAACACACCAGGCTAAAAAAGAAATACCGCCTGATCGTATCAATGGCACAAAAAGGTTTATGACCAAATGCAACATCCACTCATGATATAAATTCTCAGAAAACTAGGAAAAGAGGGGCGCTTCCTCAACCTGACAGATGACACGTACAAGGCCCCCTCCCACCAAGGTCAGCAACCAGGCACCAGGTCCACTCCCACCACTGCCGGCCAGCAGGTCAGCATCGTGCTGGCAGTCCTGGCCGTGCAATAAGGCAAGAGAGAGGAACCAAAAGCATGCACACCCCACGCCTGCGGACAGGCTCACAGCCGCGGGGTTTCCCCCGACACTGGCCTACGGCAAGCTGAGGCCCCGGGCTCCAGTGCCCCGTGTGCACCATGCAGGCAACCCGCTCCAAGCTCCGGCGTGTTGTCTCTCACATCCCCAGCACCCCCATCAACGATGTGCCGCCCCTCTCTTCCTGAGTCCTGGCTGGAGTCATGAGTGGATGTGGGGAGAGCCGGGGCAGGTGGTGAAGGCAGGCTCTGCAGGGCGTGGAGTAGGAGCTGAGCGAGGCTGGCAGGATGGTGGGGGCGAAGAGCGCTTGGGACCCAGAGGGGCCCCGAGTCCGAGTGGAGAGCTGCCCCCGCCCTCCCCACAGAGCATACTCATAGGGGCAGCACACTTGCTGCAGCCCCCCCAACTTGGTTGAGGACAGGCTGCCAGCCTCTCTTTAACAGGGTCCCCGTTGTCCCTATCCCAGGTCCTGGCCCGCTGGGAAGTGGCACCTACAGACCAGAAGTCAAGGAGATGGTCATGGTAGGCAGGGGGCTGGCCGAGCGAATGGCCACCTGTGAGCCAGTAAGCCTCCGGCCCCCACCTTCCAGCTGCCACCAGCTGTGGCCGACCATGAAGCCATGCAGGGCTGCTGGGCATGTGGAATGCTGGCAGCCTCAGGCTGGGGAAGGGTGGGAGAGGCCTTTAGGGCCTGGGCCTGTGGGCATCGCTGAAGCTGTGGCTTGGGGTCTGCTGTGGTCTTTCCGAGTGGCCCTCCTCTGGGCAGGTCCATAGCCCAGTGTGCTCCCACCCACACACCCATGCTGACTCAGGGTTTCCGTGCTGCCTGACGTCCTTTTAAGAGGATCAGAGCAGCTGCTCACCTGCCTGTCTCCCCCTGGCCTGGGGGCTCCTGGAGGCTGGGTCTGGGTCAGAGCAGGTGCTTAAGATACCTAAGATACTGGTCTCTAGCACGTTCTGCTAACGCCCACCACAGAAGGCACAGCAGGACTGAGGAGTGGCACTCAGCGGGTACCCGCTGCTGCACAGCCACACTGTATGCATCTGTGAGTGGCCCGTGTGCTGGGCCCTGCACACCAAAGGCGGCTCGTATGGCCGCCAGCTGAAAATGCCTCCGGGTGTTACCATTAAGCCAGAATGCTCGGCACACAATGGGGTGCTTCCAGGTAACTAACAGGGCACGGAAGAGATGCTGACAGAAACCGCACAGGACGGAATTTGGGAAGGAGTACAGATCATGCAGAGGGTGGGCAGTGGGACACTGACCTGTCAGGACCACGTAGGAACCTGAACTGACCGCCGAGACATGGACACATGCTTCCCAGGGACCTGACTGGCCTCTAGGGCAGGCCTCCGTCCCCTACCAAGCCCTCCAAATTCTCACCGAAGTTCACTACACCTTACTGGGACCCTGTACAACATTAAGTCATAACACAGCCACACAGAGGTAAAAATAGATCACCTTATTATAAAGCACACTCCTAAGAACTGGCAAATCAACTTTAGACACTCCTTGTCCCGATGCACACGTCACGCGGGTCACACATCCCGAGTGAAAGAAGCACCTATAGAAGGAACACAGCCAGCCATTTCAGCCAGGGCTTGTCCCCCTGCAGCTCCCAGAGAAAGGCCGGCTGCAGACAGACCGTGGCGAGCTGGCCACTCTCAAGTTCCCGACCAGCAGTGCGTGTCCCTGCGGTGTGGAATGCAGCCGATCTTATCAAGTGCCGCCCAGAACAAACAGGAAGCACTGCCAAGCCTCCAGGCTGAGCACTGCGACTGCGACATCTCCATAAGCCATGCAGTGGCATCTGTGTCACCTCAGCAGAGTGCTGGGCTGGAGTCTCCCTGCCACTGCAGAGTGGGGCACATTGGGGGCATCTCTTCAGTCACCAGCAAAGAAGTGGACACCAGTTCCATGTGGTTTTCAAAAACGGACACTGGGCTACGGTGCCACTGCAAGCAAGCCTGAGTCAGGTCCAGCCTCACATCCTCCTACATACAGCCCAGCCCACGTGTGCCCAGGCAGTGCCCCGCTCCCAGGCACCTTGGTCTCACACAGGAGCTGGCCTGAGCGGTACACAGCTGCAGCCCTCTGGAGCATATTCACATCTCGGCTACGAAATACTGCTGGTCTTGGCGCAGTTAGAGGGTGGGCTCATTTGGAAGGTGTCCAGACACACACAGACCTGACACTGGCCGTGAACCTGTCTGCCTGCTCGCAGAGGAAGCCCTTCTCTGCAGATAAGGCGGTTGGAGTGACCTGAGGGCTAAGTGGCTTAGACGGGGCCAAATGCCTGGCCCTTCCTGTCATAAGCTGGGCCACAGAGCACCCTGTGGGCAGAGCTCGGCCAGCCAGGCATTCCATAGACTCTGACCAGGAACTCTAGGGTCTGCGGCCATTCATACAAAGGAGAAACAATACTTATCCAGGCACATTGCCAGGAGAACCCAAAGTCCCCAACCCTGATCTAGAAAGCCAAAGACCACCCGGTTCAAGTCCCACTCCGTGACCTGCTCTGTGACCTTGGGCAAGTTGCTCAAAGTTTCTGAGGCTCAATAAAATTGAAAACGAAGAGAACACTGTATTTCATTGGTGCTAACACATTTCCTCTCTCATTTTAATATCTCTACAGTCAGGGTGCAGCTTATAATAGAGAGTGTCAGAACTTAATTGGCAGATGGTTTCCTTTTTAGCAGTCCATAAAATAATGGCATGCGTTGCATGAATACCGTCTTAGAGTTGATGAACTATGGGAGAATATAGCTTGAAAGGTTGTTCTGCGGGCCTAGAACAGAAGTCTAGCTGCGAGGTACCAGTGCTAGCTGGCTGCTACTGGTTTTGGCCTTGGGGACAGTGCGACCCACTGTGGGATGTCCACTGCTACAAGGACTGGTTTGAGGCTGAGGAGCAAGTTAAGGTCACAGGGTCTCGGGGGTGGCAGGGGCCCAAAGGGGTCTACAGATGATCTGGGCGGAGAGTGAGACTCTGCCCTGCCTTTCAGCCACAGCCCAGGGCCCATTCCCTCTCCAGTCCATGGTCAGGAAGCCATCCTGTCAAGGTGTGTGTGTGGGGGCGGGCAAGCACAGGGCTCCCGTCAGCCTCGCCTGCTATTATTCTTCCTGTTCCGTTCAACTCCTGGACACACAGTGAACGTGCATTAAATTATGCAACCTGCATACTTCGATTTTCAGAAAGAATGTTCTTAGATCCTGAATGTGCTGTCTGCCACGGGTTAAACTTGCCAACATTTAATTATAACAGCAGCTACAAAGTTAATCAGGCTCAAACAATGCACTGTCTCTTTAAATGGTTTCTGGCAGTCAGTGTAATTTACAAAGAAATTCCTGAAACCAGAGAGTAAAGGGTGACTTTGGAAACAGCAAGCACACTTCGGGGAAGAGGAGCAGGTGCTCCAGGAAGGACCAGATTACAACCTCTGGAGGGTGGAGGGGTCGGTCCCCTGCAGATTAGAGTGCGCTCTGACTCAGCAGAATAACACCAGCGCTTTAAAAGGAGCCCAACTGGGCACCAGGAGAGAGCCGCGCGGGCTTTCGTCCTGCACACGGCTGACCCCAGGCCACAGGTCGCCGGCCACCCTAGCCAGCACCCCGCTGGCCTGGGCACCAGGGGCGGGGCGTCCCGGGGGCGGAGCCATGCCAAGGGGCGGGGCCGGCAGTGGCTGCTGCTGGGCGGGCGGGGC